AGCTTGTGATGTTAGGCTCATCATTCTCCAGAGGCTTCACTGGCTCTTCGAGTCTAATCTGAAGGATTCTTTGTGTTCTTGGTGGTTGAGATTTTGGATTCCTCTGTTTTCAGTAAACAGAACAAGATTCAACGGAAAAATCTAAATCTCTCAAAACATTGATAAAATCAGATTTGAGGCAAGAAAACGAAATAATTTTACCTTATGTTTCTTTTTACTAATCAAATAAGCAAAGCAGTTGAATATCTTCATTTTCTTGGAGCTCAAAAAGTAAAAACTTAGCCGTAATCTATAGGAAGTTGAGAGAGCAACAAGCCGATGATGATAATGACGCCGGAAAAAGAGGAGGCAGTTCTTGATCCGACCACCGTCGAATCAGCTGATGTGTCGGCCAGAGTTTCGCCGTACTTGTTTTAGAATATGTTTCACCAATACAAAACGAACAGAGCCACAAAATCTAAAGGAAGAAAACAGAGAAGAGAGAATTATGACATGGATGGGTTCTACAGAACATGCAGGAGAGGAGAGCCACATGTAATTATAATCTATGGTGTTTTTTCGATAACTCTTAAAGACAGACAAAAGTGTTTTGATTGTGTGTGTACGTATTTAATATTCATTATTTACTTTCAAACAAAAAAAAAAAATTTATTCCTTACATTAGTAATTATTTTTTAATGTATTTCAATCTTTATCTTTTTGGGGTCAACTATGTTTTTTTCGTCTGCATATAAGATTAAAAGAGTACCAAAATATACCAAGGAATCCGCGGCTAAAACACGGAGTGCATGATTACGAATTTTTTTCTTTATATTATTTCCAAATTAATGTTAGAAGTTAGACCGAATAATAAGATAATAACGAATTGCATTAAAGAAAACGGATTAGTTGCTAAACAATATATGAATAAAATATTGAATAGCATAAACCCATACTCTTTATGTTTCAACATATATATCGTTTTCACATTTTTTTTCACACGAACTTTTTAAACAACTTAAACATACTATATGTTGATTTTGACTAGAGACAAACTAGTTATTATGATTAAAAAGTGGATTTTTGTGTTAATGGATCTGGACATGCATTATATATATACATGTATGTGTTAGAAGTTTGAAAGATTTAACATTAATTCTTGTAGATTTTTAATGTACATCTTTAAATACCAAAATCCAAGCTATCATCCAAAAACTATAAACTCCACTGACAAACACTAGATTTTAGAAATCAAAATGTAATTAATTTTTTTTGTCCTTTAA